ATTTGCTCAACTTAGTTGCTGAAGAGATACAAGGTGAGTTACCTAGTGCAACAATGAAAAATCAAGAAGAAGAGGTAAACACCTTACCCTTAGAGATTGAAGGACAACTTGGAGAAGTAGAAATTATGCCTGCAGAAACTAAACAAGAGGATGTCCCTAAGGAGGAAGAGGAAAAAGCTTAGGTGTCATTTGAAGTGTTCAATAGGGAGTCTCCTTTAACCAAATCTAATTTTAATGATTATTTTGTTATTGATATGGTTGATGAGATTTTGCAAAAAAACACTTATGAGGATCCAGTTGAGATTTACCTTATCCAAGCAAAGGACCCAATCAAAGAATACATAAATTGCTTGAATACATCATCTTCCTTGGAATCAAAGGGGGTACTCCTAGAAGAATTGGGAAGGCACATCTACTGGCCTAAACCCAAACCACCTCAAAATAGTCATTGGAGAAAATCTTATGGTGGATTCAACTTAAGGGCAAGAAAGCCAAGATTTAGGAAAACGAGAGGACATGCCCTACGATCAGATCCAAAACCACCTTGGAGTGGTAGAAAGTCTAGCTAATGACTTAAGCATTTATTGGGAGGCAACCCAAGCATAAAATTTTCTTTTCTTTTATTTTTCTTTTATAGTTCAGATTTTCTTTTAATTTTTTCCTTTTTCTTTTTATGGCCTAGGTTAATGCATAAATTGTTGTTCTTTGATTTTGGCCAGGTCATTGAATAAGTTTGGGAGACAAGATTATAGAAATTCACATGCTAGAAGTCTCCTCTAAATGAAGACAACTCAGCTTCAAAACTTCAATTTTAAGTCTTCAAGTGCAAAACCTGGGAAGTTTCTCTTTTCTCTTACTTTTATTTTACATTAAGGACAATATGTAATACCCCAAAATTTCCTAGAGCATATAAGTTGAGTTAGGGACTTAATAGTGAGAAAACATTATTAATGGACCTAACTGTCAATTTTTCAAACTTTAAAGGGGTTAAAACTCTTATTGGATAAGGCCGGCTGACTCATTTCCCTTTTCTTTTCTTTCTTTCCTTCTTTCCAGCCATTTTCGCGTTGCTCTGTTTTCTTTTCTCCCTGCAGCCGAACACCACCAGCCTTCACCACCGCCTACTCCTCTTGGAAACTTGGTAAGATCTTGGTAAATTCCTTCCCTTTTATTGTTGAACAACAAGATCTAAAGCTTAAAACTCTCTCCCTCAACCCAGGAATTTCGGATCTGCCGTCTTCTCTCTTCCCTGCCGCCGGCCATAGCTGGGTGTGAGTTCGGTTTTTCCTGGTAAAATCAGTCCAGAAACTCCTCTTTTTAGCCTTGATTTATGTTGGGTCACTCTAATCTTGTTGTTCCTTAAATTGCTAGTGGCCCTGTGGAAGTCCTCCAATTTTCCGGCCAGCTCTTCCCTTACCGCCAGCTCCAGCTTTGCTTGTTGAGCATTTCTGGTAAGTGGCTTCTTTAATCTCCTGAAAGTTGGTGGATTAAGTGCTAATTTGTGAGTTTAAGTGGTTGTGTGAAATGGGCTTGAGTTGTCCGAAAATTCTGTTGAAATAGGGATGAGTTTTGACAATCTGAAAATGGGTTTTGGTTGATGATTTGTGTAGGAAATTAGGGGGTTTGGCTGTTGTGTGTGTGTCCAAGAGAAAAGGGGAGAATTCCGTGAATTGGCCATTTTTTTGTTAAGGCCGGTTCTCCCAAATTCTTGTCCGTGAGTTGAGAATTGAATATGGGTAATTATATAATTGTAGATACATAGATAAATACCCAATCCCGGTTAATGCTTAATTTCCGGATAGAAAAGCAGAAATGAAAATAAATAAAGGAATGAGATTTTCTTTATAGATATTAACTCGAGAATATTGTGATTAGGTCCTTGATTGCCCTGTGATCCTAGCACTTGGATTAGGCCTTCGGTCTCGTGTAATTAAGGTAAGTAAATTATGGTAAA